TAGCTTTTCAACGTAGTTCTAACTGAACTAATGGTTACACTAATTCTTTATAACTTCTACGAATTTCGATTTCTGTTTCCAAGTTCAAAAAACTTATGTTTGAAATTTCTTCTACCCCTATGTTTGCCCTGTCCTAGTACTCCTCCCCTAGAAGTTGTCCCAAAGCAATAAATAACTATTGATCGACTAGCAGGAGCAGGAAGCTTAGTGGTAGACGACGTTTATGTTATTATATTCTCTGATAAGTGCACGGTAGTTAACAGATTAACATATTTTAACGAAAATTTATATTAAAAGGAATAGCAGCGAACGAAATTTTTTCCAAGGCAATTCCCAGTATGCGTCGGGTCACTGCTATTCAAAAATGCTTATTTATTTATTCGTACTTTTCCAGTACAATGCTTTAATCCAAGTAATCCGAATATTCGAATAATTTCGAATAAAACACCGTACTGGAAAGTTAAGAATTGAGGATAAAGAAATATGACGGGGCTTTGGCTCTGCTCAGCTCGAACGGCGCTGCGATCAATAATTGCTGGAAATTTTCTTATGAAAGGGCAAAGGAGTAATAAATTTCCGCCAAAAACTATGAAATTTATTCGATTATTCTAGCATTTGAATAAACCCATACACAGTCTTTTTCACGGACTAGCACCAGTGGGGTGGGCGGAGCCAGGACGCCGTGTCCAAACTGATGAAAGTTAGGCTGGTTCTCCCAATTTTAACTAGTTTGGACACGTGCAAGTGACTGGCCCCGCCCACCTCACTGGTCCTTGTCCGAAAAAAGAGTGTATATAAAAAGGAACAACATTCTAATCGTTTCTCTGATAGAAGAGGCGACCCTGTTGGTATCAGAAAGCAACTTCAAATTCAGATAAACTAACTTTGCGGCTTTAGAAAATAAATTTTTCATGATTGTTGGAATATTCGAACTCCACTACTCTACTATGTACTTTAAGGAAAAACTATGAGATTTCTGGGTTGCTCGCCTTAAGTCAATTTTTAGGGATAAGACAGCACATATTCCAAAAATTACAAAAAAAGATTGAGCTTGATTATCTCGAGAAAGAAAAGTCATTGTTCTGCTAAGCTGGTCCACCTAATTAAAGGCTTTACGGCTAAATGGTGTGGTCACTGTGGTCCACGCTTCAGAGCAAAGGGATAGCTACTCTACTTTTTATCTGCAGGTTGAAAGGGTGTTATAGCTCTAAAAGTACCCAAAGAAGTGTATTTTTATAAAAATTTTCTAAAAACTTTGGCTCGCCTTTCTAAGCTCTAAAATTCTTTTAAAAATGCTTGGGACCAAAACTGTTAGCATTTCCCTTCGTTAGAATTCCCAAGCAATCATAGATGAAGAAGAAAACCAAGGAAACCTTGAATGTTGATGATACCTATGTGTTGTCACAACGATTATCCCATCGCCATCCACTCGGCGATGACGTCAGCGAACTTTGACCGCAATGGAGACTTCTGCTGTTGCATATGAAAATAAATGGTCGCTGTATTTTCTGATTCGAGAATTCTGGAGAAATAAATACGCTACACAACAAAAAAATGGTATTTGCTAAAATTTAAAAAATATTTGCCAAAAGGCCCACTTTAAACATTTGTTATGAACACTTTTTGCACTCTGATATCACCACCTAAATTTATCAAAGCTGTATTTACGTCACGCAGACAAAACTTGAATTTATGAAATATCAATTTTCGGCCGCACCCCATATTGACGTCATCTGTTCCGCCAGTTTTCTAAGTGGCGCATGAAAGTTGAGTAATAGAGAATAGTATTTGAATAAGGAAAAAAATTATGGTGTTTTTATGGTCCATGGGATCAAATGATGTTATCAAAGCCGTTTGCAGTATTCTGGCTTAGGCGAACTCGAGTAATAGTGTATACTTGCCCAAACCTTCTGAGTGAGTAAAAAAAACGGTTTGAAGTAATTGTACGCTAAGGCGGACTGATCTGTCATGATTGCGGTCATGGCGTAGTGGCTAGTGAGCTAGACCCATGGGAAAACGGTGTAGGGCTCGATGCCGCGGAGCGTGGACCATTTTTCCTCTGTTTTTAGAGCTTTTTTTTGCTTTGAAACTGATATTAACCAGTATTACCTTATTTTCTGCATTTTTCAAAGACTTTCGAAAATTGCTTTCAAAAAAGATTTCTCTACGAATCTTTTCTTCTGCCCGTCAAATTCTTTAAACATTCTGGTCAAATGGCTTCTGCATGACTGTGCCACTATAAATTCACTTCGAGCAAAGTGCACTACTTTCGCAGTACTCACGAGAGGCGGGGCCTGGTAGTTGAATGCGGACAATACACTCTGTTGACGTAAAGCAAGTGGAAGAGTCTAGAGCACAAACTGACTGTTGGAGGTTCTAGATGACAGATTAAGACGGGAATCCTATAAAAATACTAATGCCGTCTGTTTTTGGTCCGCAGTCACGACTACGAGTAATATGCTTTGTACAAGGAACCATACTAAGTAACAGATTTCCATAAATCATTATCTGTCGCACGGCGAACCGGAAATTTTTTTTTGTACAGGCTGCGCTATACACTCACTGCTCATTTACGGCAGCAAGTCTCAATGACAGTCATTAATCAGGCGGTCGAAGAACGATCCGATAGTTTATGTAAAGATCCTAGATTTATATTTTGTATAAATTGAACAATTGGGATAGATGAAAGTTTCTAATTGTCACGGATGGGTCCTGTCCATTGGAAGGGTTCTTGTGCAAATTTGCTCGCGTGGATCATTCTAAGGAGGCTTGGAAATCCCACCCCACCGCACTTTTTCCATCGTATCCCGGCAAACACGGAGAACTGTTTTGCATTGTAGCAGCCTCATGCACATGTTTTTTTTTTGCTAAAAAAGAACTTTTATGTACGTTCGCATATGCGAGCCTTCTCATTGGCAGAGGCCTTCTGTACAGCTGATGCGTTGCGTGTGCGACAGCCTATTGTGCATGTCCGGTCAGATTAATACAACAACAATTGGACAGATTTCTGCGTTTAGCAACTGAGCAAGAGCTTAGACAAACACGTTGATAGCTGTAGCGATGTCCACCACTACGGCGAGTAGTGTCTATTTGCAGGCGAAGCTCTTTAGGCATACGCGAGTTCTAGCCGTTTAGTCGAGGTTTTCGGGAAGCTGCTAGCCTAGTTGGCTAAATAGCACAAAGTCGTTAGCCCAGATCGACTCTGGGTAGGTTAACTCACTGTGGAGAACGAATGGTAAAACTGACCTCAAGAAGTCGGCCGAAGTTAGGCCGGAGCACCATGGTGCAGTGGTTAGCGTGCTGGTGTTGTAAGCGAGAGGACGAGGGTTCGATTCCGCGTTGGTGCGGTTATCTTGCTTCTAAGATTTAAGCTTTATTTCTACTATCTTTGAAAGGATATGGTATCTGCAACAGTTTTGTGCACATCTGTCTGCTGATGTCATACTTGGATTCTAGTTGTGCATAGATGGGAATTCCTTTGTAGGCAAGGTCCCCCCTCATTAGTCGCCCGCTTAGCGCTGTTGCACTACAGCCACTGTTTTAGCCCCTACTCCTAAATGACATTAAAAATACCATTCTAGACCCTTTTTACCCATTGGAATGAAGTTAAACCAGGAAATTAAGCCACCACACAAACAAAAGACCACGGGTTTCTTCACATTTCTCGTAGCGATAAATCACCTTGACCCAGCCCGCAAAACGAACTGGATCGGCCGAATTGTGAATCACACAAGCGTTGTAAGCTAGCTGCGTGTTGTGTTTCGCCCTGATGATCACGTTGTTTACGCTGATTATTACATTATGGCAACACAACGCAAACGTATAACCATACAACCACTTGATTGATGCGTTTGCCCTGTACGGAAGGCGAAACAATCGCCGGGGGTAGGCAGTGGGGGCGAGATAACCCGTTGGGTTAGCGCCGGTGGCCACGCCCCCGACCCGTACGGTAGCCGTTTCTCGAGATCGAATACTTCTTGCGATTGATTCAACCCGCTCTCACAGACGTCTGGTCTGGTCACTGCTGCTGAAATCAGAGGAGCTACTCTCTACTGCTAGTTAATTACCGTATCAGCTGCAGTATCCTCGATTCAGGAACTGAAACAAGATTATTCGTTCTAATTTTTTCTCCCTCTTCGAGTCTCCATAAATTTGTACATTTGCTGATCTGAGAATGTTCCATCAATAGTTATCCAGTACTAATCGATGAAGCTTCTCGGACGCCACGAGGTGATTACTATTTGATCTATTGAGTATGATAACTAATCAATAACTTAAAGATGCGGACTATAGCACTATCAAGAAACTTATATCGATAATAACACCACACATCCCGGTGAAAAAACGAGTTCTTAGGGTGATCGCCCCGTATATGAACGATTACTACACGTACACATGATGAAGTGTGTAATAAACTCGGCTTGGGTAATTTAGCGATCAGCTGTTGATTTATTGATTTTTCGATGGTGAGCAGAAATTGGGCCAGTTTTAGGATTGAAACACCATCGCCTGGGCTTCATGAAACATTTTAAGTAAATCTGTTCCTATGAGGCAACTTTGGATTAGTTTGGGGACTCCTAATAAGCCATATTTGGTTAGAGGCAATGCAAACTACGTACTCAATCGATATATTGATTACTGCTTTCTAGTGAACTAAAATAACCTACCACTGAACTCTAGTAACAATACTATTCATTCGATACGTAGAAAGGGTATATCTAAAGCTATGTTTCTCAGAACAGAGCAAAATGGGTACATGTTCTGAGGTTTTTCTTGTCTAGGAGTGGCAACTACTGTGGCCAATCAATATATCGATTAATTACGTGATCTTTTTTATCAAATTTGACCGAACTTTGACAACTGGGGGGAGAAAATAGCACATTACCATGTAATGTGAAACATGTAACATAAATAGTGCTGTATTAAACTATATTCTGAATATTGCCGCAGTAGTTTTCTTTAATACACAAGTGTACCATGCAGCATAAATGATCATGTGCTTTACTATATTGTATACTGTATCTACTGGTTAGAATAAGCTGCCTTGTTAAGTCTAACCTCAAAATATTCAAGATTTTTTTACTGGAGATTTCAGCTGTTATCTAACAGCCAAAAGTTTGGTCAAATCCATTTTCGAACTGCACCAGCAATTAATCAATATATCGATCAGATTCTTTATAATGAATAGAAGCTGCTAGAGAAGTATAAAAGACATGCCTCTAGATTTGTGATAAACTCTTCAGGCTTGATATACATTTTTAGGTAAATAATATATTAAGAAATGAAAATAAACCGTAGTATTAGGTAAATACGAATACCTAATATCGATTGTTTCAGGTCACTGACCCGTCGAAAGACTATGGATGCACGCTGGCGCAATTGCGCAGCCTTATGGAGGCGCGAGGCGCAGAGGCTATCGTTAGGGTAAGCTTGAACTTTTCTTTACTAGCAAATAATCCGCTCATCAGTGAAGTTCCGGCACTTCTGCCCTGGTGGCACATTTTGAGCTTCCATCCTAATTATCATGGCACACTCTCTTATTACATCTTAACTCTAATCTAATACGACTTTTTTTTAAACTACCAACGATATTAGAAAAAACATTGTGACTGATTGACTTTGATTTCAAGCTGTATTAAATGTTTTCCCTGCAAAATTGCTGTTTCTAAAGCCTTCCGACTGAAATTTCTCTGGAATTATTTTCTTTGTTTCACTCCAAAGATATTTTCTAAAGAAGTTCTGCATCTTGTTCGAAATTTTATGCTAGTCACAGTTCGCCTAATTGATTTGGATGCTTGAGCCCCTCGGCATGCGTCGGATGCCGCTAAATAGCACTAAAACTCAGAGACGCAGAAGACTACGCAGTGGCCAATTTGAAGTAAATAAACAAATAATTGAATATAAATGGATAAATAAATGAATAATAAATAAATAAATAAATAAATAAATAAATAAATAAATAAATAAAT